CAGGTCTACGAGAATATTTTCCATTTTCTCTGTATATTCCTTCCTATCCATCACCACTGTGAAATCTGTCAGCTTGTAGAATAATTTGATTGTTTCTTTTCAATTCACTATCTACCGTGGTAATACCGTTCGTATCTATGGGTTATTGATGCGCAGAAATTATGGCAATGATTTACATTTCCACCTCTCTTTCTGATTCTTCTGTTAACTTGCCCGAGCGATTTATCACCTAGACTAAAATGTCATTGATTACCTACCATTTTGAGGAGCAATGTGGCTTTGAGGTCAAGAGGGACGGAAGACAGACTCGTTACTTAATCTTCATTTCTTGTTTGGACTTTGAGATCCGATCTCAGAAGCATCATTATTTTTGCCGGGTGGTTAGACCTTGAATTGCCTTTAGATTCCATATTTATTCACCTGCTTAAGGTGCCTTTTTATATTAAATTCGAGATCTCTTTTGTGATTTTGTCTGTCAGCTTGTATAGTTTTAGAAAATCCTCTGAGTGATAATCCGACTTAAATCATGCATAAGTCTAGATTTAATAGCTAAACGCGTAAATAATTATCCCCTTCTTGCCACTATATGTCTAGTCGAATTTTTATAAATTAATTTGTTATAATATATCATCGACCTCGACGGAATCATATTTTCTCATCAAATTGTAAAGCTAAGAAGAATGCCAAAACGAGTACAACAGTCAAGAAAGGCTAAAAGACATATCGTGTCGATTTGACTTCGTTTTCGAAACTTGGCATGAGCATCATAGAGACCTTGTGGAACGTACCTAGTAATTTGTGCTCTGGTAAAGTATTCGTGATTTCTAGCATCGTACCATTGACTTGGGATATCCTTGTTGATAAATTAGACTATCAGTCTTATTTATTTTATTTTTATGTACCAATGAGAATAGTGTCAAATAAAAATTTTAATATGCAATAAACCCCCGATCAATCCAGCCCGTTCTTTCTTTTTCATGTTGTGACAAATTAAAGAGGAGTGTTGCCTTTCCATTAGTAATCGTCTAAATATTCCAATTTCTTAATATTGGTAGAAGTTTCTGCGTTAGCAGCAAGAGACAAGGCCTATTCTTTTTTTATTTTAAACCGATAAACAAAACTAGACATTTTCATTTCACGGTCCGTATATTTATTTGTGTAATTTCAAGCAATATCCGTCGCCAAAAAAGGTAATTTAATCAATTATTAAGCATATAGTTACATGTCCTGTCCTGTAATAGGCATCTGGTAATAATGCTCCCCATTAACCCGATATTCAGTCCGTAGTTAAAATGAAACTAGAAACTGAAGAGTTTTCCGGCCTTTTATTTATCTGAGAATAATATTCTCTTGAGTGCTCCGGTTGATTAAATGACTTTGGCATAAAATAACCGCTAATTTTTCCCCATCTCTATCGTAAATTTGATTCTTTCATAAACCCGGTTCAAAGATTTCCGTAATTAATCCAAATCGTTTTTTCCATGCAACCAGTGCAAGGTATCTAGATGACTAATACTATTGTGAGCATGGAATACTGAATAAAAAGGAATCTAAAGAAAAAGCTGATGAAATCAAATGTGATGAGAAGAAAATTACAACTTTGCAGGTCTGACAAAAACGAGAATAGGAATTCAGATATTCACAAATCGAAGTCAGTTCGACTATATATCTACTCGACCTAAAGGGAAAACTAGAAATATAGGTTCTCAGCAGGCTTCGAGTATACGGACTAAATCATAGACGACCGAAGAAGAAAATGTCTGACCATGAAATTTATCTATAATACGTGCTGAACTAAAATAAGAGGTAGTTTTAAGTAGGTATATAGCACCTGTGTAATGTGACCAAGCTTGGGATTCAGGGCTTTTGCGTACCGAAAAAGGATGTCAAGGAGTGCGTGCTTAAAGCAGAACATGAGGAACAACACCTTGAGTAGAACGTATAGTGTCTGTAACTGAGTGAGATCAAACTAGTAAGACAAGAAACACAATAGATACAGATATAAGTTTAAAAAAGAGATTTAAGACTTAAAGTCCAAGATAACTAAGGATTGCGGTACACAAAGTGGGGGGAGACAGAATAAATGGGCAGGTGTGAATTCAACTCAGTAAATCCACTAAAATGGATGCATACCTGGAATAATCAGATCATAAGCTTTGAGTGACAAAGAAGATCGGAGACAGGTACATGTACCAGCACAGAACAATACATCACAGTCGTTATTCATAAAGTTTGTCAGGGGATCAACTTCATTAGTCTCTTTGGCTGAGAATGACAATACCAACAAAGCGTATGCGAATGTATCAAGTCCGCGATCAGACGATGAAAATTATCATGATTACTATGACAGAGAACATAGGAAAAGGTTCATTCAGCTAAGTCACAATGATAACACAAAAATGTTGCTAGAACGAGGTCAAACAAGGAAGATTACTTCTTGAAAAACTGGAAATTACCAATCCCCTTGTCACCTTTAACGAAATAAGGTGAATAAATCCTATATATATGATTTGCTGGCAGTATCAAAAGAAATATTTATTAAATGAAAAATTGTAGTCGATTGCTATAACAAATAAAAGCTTGCTTCATCGACAATCCTATCACAGAATATGTGGAAAAATACCTAGTCTTCCTTGTAATTCACGTCGGCCCTGTGACCAAAGGGCACTAGTGGCAGTCTGGTGGTGGCTGACGTTTAAAGATTATAAGATTATATACGATTCGAGACCGGCTGGGGCTGCTGACGAAACCTAGGCCAGGTCTAAACTGAAGTCCACTCTGGATGAGAATAACTTTTAATAAGCAAAGCTTACTCATATCGTTTTGAGAAAATTCAACAACCAGTACCCAACCAGTCGCTCAACGTAATAGAGTAAAGATAGCTCTTATAACAGAGAAAGGAAACTGCGATCAACATAGAGGCCATATCATCGTAGCCAGATCCAGCTAAAATTGTAATATAAGAATAGATATCATAGGATCTCGCATTTCTTATGAAAATTTGAAGAAAGATTGATATGTCGGTTGATTTGAAAAATAAGTCATCGGCCCACCGTCCTGCGACCTCGATGATTGCTTGCTTAGTGGTATGTGATACATTGTATGAACGATAAGGCAATAGAGTAAAATCTACGAGATATTAAGCCAGGAATAGTTGCTAGCTAAGATTTTACTTCGAAGAGTCTAAGTTAGCGATCTCAATGAAGCATTTCATGATATGCTTAATTATTTCAACCTTATCTCTACATACTTACAGAAGAGTAATATTGAAGAGTGGCAGAATTTCAATTTATTTCCTTAAATCCCATACAACTTGATCCTATGATTTAGTGTGTAGTTGGATATATGCGACATATATGCTATGTTAAATAGTCAACTGATATCAACGCCAAAAAATGGATTCGCGCTTGTGAGACAAATTCTTTCTATATACAAATAAAAAGCTGGTTTCAATAAATCTGCTGAGATAATATTGTTATGGAGACTTTTATTTCGTATGAAAGTGCATGATGAAGAGATTTGTGGATTAATCTCACCAGAAGACGACTAATTTCCGTTGCACCACAGGCGTTTGGCTTTAATATGACACTCAGGTTGACGCAGTTCACGAGATATCATCCTTCATTTCGGGTGAAAACGGGCTGAGCTTTTGATCGTGATATGACGAACATCATCAGAGCTGGGACTCATTCTTGCAAAAATATCAAGCCAACAAACCTGAGTGTAATAGAATTAACGAAGAATTTATAGATCAACCTATATCTAAAAGAAATTTCTCGTTGAGTATATGCATCAAGTAGGAAAGAGTTGATCGACTTTCTTGACTTAGTATTAACTAAAGGCTTTTGCATGAGTTCCAGCTCTGAGAATGTTCAACATATAACAATAAAGCTCAGCCCACGTCCTCTCGAAACTAAGTAGGATGGCTGGTGGGCTGCATCAACCTGAGCGTCGTATTAAAGTCAAACGGCTGCAGTGCAACGGGAAAGTCGTCATATTTTGGTGAAATCGACCTACGAATCTCTTCATCAAGGACTTTAGTATAAAATGAAAGTCTACAACAAACTCACTTTACTCATTGCTTCATTATTCTCTCCTTTTCTATGCGCAATAGTAATAACTAATCATATAGAAGAGAAATAATAAGCTCTAGACAAGTTTAAAACGCTAAAATTAGCTATCACACCTTAGAGACAATCTTCTTTCGATTTCCTGCATGGCCAATTAACAAATTCATTCCATCATATTTTCATATGAATGTCCAATGACGCCAAATGGTTTTATAAATCCAGATTTACACCGTATATACGAAGTTCCGTGATATAGAGTAAACTTTGTGGGAGTATGTCTATTTTCAGACATATTTTTCAAGCCTTAGGAGAAAAAATAGGTCCTGAATGAAGTTATACAGGAAAGAATCGATTTGTATGTATAGTTAGAAAATAAGTGATTAATAGTGAATTACTTCAATGAAAATACAATAAAAATGCAATTTTCTGACTAAATGCATCGCATTTCAAAATTCATACAAAAATTAAGTTCGATTCAGAACATTACCTCGTTCAATGCATCAATATTTGGCTCTACCATCTCAGACGGTCTGAAATCAGTAGAGAGTAAATAGGAGCCAGTAGTGAGGTTGCTAACAAATGACGCAGATTGGCATGAAGTTGCACGTCGATATGGAGTTGTGATAGCTCCGAACATAGTAGAACCAAGCAAAACAGCAAATACCTCGAAACCCATGCCTGTTAAATCAAGATGTGGTGTCGATAAAATATACATTAAACAACGCAATATTTAATGAAAATTGAACACTTCCTTAGATAAAGTAGGGACCTAATGTGTAACGGCTGACTTTTATGATAAATTATATAGGAAAAACTTTAAATAAGAACTGCAGTCATCCTAGGTTGGAAAATATAATATTGGAAACTGCTTAAATACGAAAAATAATATTCAGATAGTTAGTCTTTCTGACGCT